CTTGAAAAATAAAATAACCATGTTTAATGGGGATGAATAAGACAAGCGAAAAGCTGCTTAGGCTGTAAGCCATGTTTTGAACTATCAAAGTGGTAACGGTTGTGACTGAAAACTACTTGATTATTCTGAACCAAACGCGTCGGTGGAGCAAAAACACATTTCGGTGTATTTGGATCTCCACCTGTCATACCTGTGAATTCCACAATTCCCAACGAGTCAAAAGGGAATCGAAAAGAGAAGACATGCAACATGAACTTCTCACGACAACTTTCACTGATATGCACCAACAAATAGATTCTTCTAAGACTGAAATTGGTAAATGTTACCTGGTAACTGGGACCAATGCGTTTACTGTTATAAGCCACTTTTGGATCCGTGGTAGGCTTGTTTGGTAGAGCAACATTTATTGGTAAACAGAGCTTAGCATATATTGTTCATTGTGTCTCCTAGCACTACTCTCCGATCAACAAAAATAACTGACCGTATGTGAAGCCGACCTCAGGCGATTCTGGTCAGTCTCAGTTTAAGCAAACTGGCACAGCGGTAACACGTGCCCGGAGTTTGAAGCCAGGACGATGGACAGTGAACATGCATCATTCCTGAGATCTACTGAGAGCAAAACGTGAGTCTCTGTAGTGCCTCCCGAGTGTACGATTAGCTAGATAAACTCAGGAATGCGTGAGTGAAGATGAATTCTGAAGGATGATCTGTCCGCATCAATGTGGATTGAACAGTGCACAGATGGAACAAATACACACTACAAATTCTAGTTCATCAGGTTACCTGAATGTAACGCTCGACCGTTCGCATTGACTTTTCGGTACTCGATGCTGATCTCTTGCAATTTATCTAATAAATTAGATGAAAGTAACAGTTTTCCTTCACAATCATTTTATGGGAACGAAGCATAAAGTTCCATTTTATTACCAGCTCAAATCAAATGGTTTCTCAAATATGAACATAGTCGCAATGCGGGTTACCGGCTCACTTCGTTTATGTACTCACACATTTTGCAAGTTAAACGTTATCAAAGCTCATATTAGTTTATCATTGTCTTTTTATTAATTTTCCTTTCATTAAATCGTCAAACATACAACAAATTCTGTTCACCCAGGGCCATTGGTTTCGCTACAGGACGCGCATTTTATAGTTGATCTGGGCGCTTGACAACAATCGAAATGAAACAGTCTATAAAAATGCAGATGGACATTTGTTTTGGCCGCTCATACCCAATACAGACCGGTGGAAGAGCATTGCTCAATAAACCAATACAAACGTACATGGGTTATTATGATAAAGGGATAGTAACCTTTTTGCAGAATACATGTAGCAATCCGTTTATACTCGTGGTCTCAAAACGGTTGGGAAAATATGCGAATGTATTATAAGGTAACCAGTTATATCTGAACACCGTGCATAAAACTGCTATGATAAACCAATGCCTGTTCTGTAATTTTATAAGAAAGTGTTCATTTAAAAATCGAAATGGTTTTAGTGATGCGCTGTTCTGAGTACAGACTGGGAATCAGATCAAAGTATGAGTTGTTAGATAAAACATTGAGAACAGGTGATCCGGTATATTTAAATGGTCTATGATGAATAAAAATAAAACTACAAAGTATTTTGTTGGATAAAATGAACACTACTGACCCATTCAGAAATGAAAATAGTGGCTGATTGAAGGGGGTTGATAGAAAGGTCGAACTGTTGGATGCATCACCAATCACTACATCATCGGCATACTTAAATGTGAAAACACGTTGGTTTACATTTGCAGTTGAAGACCAAGTACGATTAGGACATATGAACTGGCGTCAGTCAGTTGAATAGTCATACATCTAATTCAGCGAATGTGGCGGCAGATTTTGTTGCTGTAACGGTGTCAATGGAATGTTTCTATTAATGGAGTTAAAAAGTATTTGTATAGTCAAAAAAAACAAGGATGAACAGTCTTGTGTTTTTGGTCGACCATGGACAAACGGATTGTGTAGGACAGGCAACCGCATCAATGGTCGAGTTACACTTACAATAAGTGATAAGGTTAGACTCACTAGAATCAACAGAAGATGAAGGAACTGTAATCATAGTTCACATCAAAGTCTTAACTGGTACCGACGTGGAAGCAATAAACCGAGATTTCACCTTTTCCTCCCAAGGTATTCAAGTGATGCAAACGGCACGCTATGCATCAGCTAGGCTACTTACCTAACTCTAACTGACTTTGTGAACAAATCCACTATCAAAAACACTGATGTTCGTTTCCGTCGAATTATCTCGCATTTCTGCCGGGAGATTACCATAGTTTATTATTAGAGTCCCCACAGTGGTCATTACCTTTACGCTCAGTCAGCTTGCTGACTGTAGCGTCATGAAAAAATGTCCGCCGGTATTTGATTTTTTAGTGATTTTACTTTAATACTACTTACTTACTTACTTACTTTAATACTTTTTTATTGTTTATTGTTTCGTTCAGTTGTACGAGTTGAACCAGGAATGGGCGAGTTGTAATCAAGGCATAACTGATTATGATTACTAGGCCATTGAGGAAAGTAACCCAGTCACCAAAGTTCACCTCGATCATTCCAACTCATCCCGCTGAACGAGTGTTACTATTCCAATAGATCCATGAACCATGCAATAAAAAAATGCACCACTCGGTGTACACCGTAGGCACTGAACTCGTCCCTGGTCTTAGTTACTGTGATAACCTTCGGTGTGTATGTGACTGAGGCACGTCTCAAAATCGTCATCCCGCATTTCAGCCGGAGGTTGAGACGTCAGTGCTGTGTGGTGGCTTTAAAAGTGCACAAATCTGGCAGCTCCAATAAGGTCAGTGAAACAGCTTGAAATTATGGTCAGGCAGCATGGAATGAACTTGAAATGCACATGTTAGAAATAGAAACACGCATCGAACGTGTGTGTCGGTAATCTACCACCTCAGTACATCTCTCTCAGTTGTTCTTTTGAACTCATTAAATCAAAGTGAAATATCAATCAGCCTAGATTTGTTTGACATGGATGTCTCAGTGTGCGTAACTTTCATCAAGGCTCTCTTTAAGACCAACCTGAGGATGTTGTATCCATAATAACACACACACACGCCCAACGTGAGCATGGGTTGGATTGTGTAGTTTGGAACTGTTAAACAATCATAAGATAGAGTGGAACAAGTTTTGTGAATCTTTAAGCACATTTTCTATTTTGAAAAGAAATTCCAAATCTGTAAACGAATGGTGTCAATTTTATCGATACGCTGTATTCCAGCCCAATATTACTTTTTATTAGTGAAGTTTGAATAATTCTTACTGATTTCTACTCACCATCCGTCTGAACTCAGTTCCGTGCACAATCCTCAGTTCAGCCTGAGCACCATTAATTCAGGAAGCATGTGAGTCGACTTTCGCTCTTCATTAGTGGATATTCATTGCCCCGTTCTGGATTTGACAAAGCCAGAATCATCGCAGGCAGGTGTGCGTGTGTGTGTGTGTCGAGGTGAGGGTATAAATCTCTAGGCCAGCCATCTCGCCGGAACTACCGCTCCACCATTTATCCCATCTCTTTCTTACTGTCAGTCCAGCGGTAATGAAGTTAAACGGCCTATAGTGTTTCCAAACTCAATCAATACACTCACACTCTATCTGATTTTGCCGGGAGCTTGGAGTATTTGAGCACTGAGCGCACTAAATTGACGTTATGTAGAAAACAGTTAGCCTAATAATTCTACGGAATTCCGTTGATGATTTTCGCACAAATATGCACTATACTTTTCTCAGTTTAAAATGTCCGAGTGTCAATTTAAAATGTCATGTTGCTATGGCCCCCGGAAAATATTGTCTCACGCTCAACAAAAATGTGCACCGATGATTGCGAACGTTTAACCCCCATTTCACATCGTCTGTTACCACCCATTTTGTACCGAGAACACTTCATTCATGAGACCATGAACGTTCGTGGTGAGCACTGTTCAGTCAATTGCTCATTTGCTGGGTCAAGTGAGAAATGTGGTCATTGTGTGAGAGACCATACCAAGTCCAAAAGCGCTTCTTTTTGTTCCGCATTCAAC